CATGGCACATCATGACTTGGCAATATTTGCCCACTCTTCCTTGCAAAAATACTCCAAATCTGTCAGATTGCGAGGGCATCTCCTATGCACAGTCCTCTTCAGATCACCCAACAGTTTTTCAGGTCTAGGCTTTGGCTGGGCCATTCCAAAACTTTAATCTTCTTCTGGTGAAGCCATTCCTTTGTTTATTTCAGAGTATGCTTTGGGTCATTGTCATGCTGAAAGATGAAGTTCCTCTTCATGTTCAGCTTTCAAGCAGAAGCTTGAAGGTTTTGTGCCAATATTGGCAGTTATTTGGAACTGTTCATAATTCCCTCTACCTTGACTAAAGCTCCAGTTCCAGCTGAAGAAAAAGAGCCCCAAAGCATGATGCTGCCACCACCACCATGCTTCACTGTGGGTATGGTGTTGTTTTGGTGATGTGCAGTGTTGTTTTTCCACCAAACGTATGTTTTTGGACTATGGCCAAAAAATTCAACTTTGGTTTCATCAGACCATAACATATTTTTTCCCACATGCTTTTGGGAGACTTCAGATGTGGTTTTTGCAAAATTTAGCTGAGCTTGGATGTTTTTCTTCGTAAGAATAGGTTTCCGTCTTGCCACTCTACCCCATAGCCCAGACATATGAAGAATATGGAAGATTGTTGTCACATGTACCACACAGCCAGTACTTACCATGATATTCCTGCAGCTCCTTTAATGTTGCTGTAGGCCTCTTGGCAGCTTCTCAGACCAGTTTTCTTTTCATCAATTTTGGAGGGACATCCAGTTCTTGGTAATATCACTGTTGCGTCATATTTTCTCCACTTGATGTTGACTGTCTTCACTATATTCCATGGTATATCTTGGACATTCTTTTGTCCCCTTATCCTGACTGATACCTTTTAACAATGAGATCCCTCTGATGCTTTGGAAGCTCTCTGTGGACCATGGCTTTTGCTGTAGGATGCGGCAAAGTAAATGTCAGGAAAGACCTACTAGAACGGCTGAACTTTATTTGGGGTTAATCAGAGGCACTTTAAATGATGGCAGGTGTGTACTGACTTCTATTTGACATGATTTTGAATGCGATTGTTTAATTCTGAACACAGCTACATCCTCAGTTATGAGAGGGTGTGCACACATATACAACCACATTATTTTAATTTTTCATGTTTACTCCCCCCCCCCCCCCCCTCCAAAAGACTTCAGTTTGTTTTTTCAATTGAGTTGTACAGTTTATAGGTTACATTAAAGGTGGAAAAGGTTCTGAAATGATTTATCTTTGTCTCATATTTTTACATCACAGAAACCTGACATTTTTACAGAGGTGTGTAGACTTTTTATATCCACTGTGTGTATATATATATATATATATATATATATATATATACTACTGAAACTAGGTAAGTATATGAATCTTTCTTATATACGTTAGTTGACATAGGTGTTAGGAGGAGGGAGGGGCCAGTTTCCAGAGTAGTTAGGATGAAGTTGGAATGCCTCTTTAGGTTTGGCAGGTTTGGTGTCTAGTTTGGCATGGGTTTTTGATTTTTATTACCAAGAATACGTTCTATTTCTCTGAAAATACTGGTTATTGGTTCAATCCATCTAAACGTGGTGGAAAACAGCTTGTGTGTGGGGCTATGCAAAGCGGCATATGAGGAAATGGTGTACAAATATAAGCATGCCTCTTCTTTATAAACAAGCCCAAAGAACACTTTGGCCATGTCATCAACACAGATAAGGGAACGGTCACAGTGAGAGTGATATGATTTAAGGACAATTGAAAAATGGTTTACTTAATATAAAGACTGGTTTATTTCATACTTCTGTATGTAATGTGCTTTGACCACATTACCTTAAGTCTGTCACACACTGACTACACAGGAATTTAGGGAGAAAACGGTGAATAGATCATTACCAGTTAATTATCCATGCTCCGTTCCAGGAGCTTGTCTGTGTTAGAATATTATTATAACAAGAACTTACTGACAATGCTATTACACATCATAATTTTTCTTCTCAGCTGTGAATTCATTACCTTGTTTGGTATTTTGTTTTTCTGTTAAATGTTGTGCCATTTCAGCATTCTAAAAAAAATTATTAAAATCTGTTTAGCCTTAACACATATGAACTGCACACATTTAAAAAGAAAACCTTTCAAGATAGAATTATAAAAAAACAGCCATAGCTAACTGCTTTATACAGTTGTGGCCAAAATTATTCAACCCCCACTGAAATTGAGTGTTTTGGCCAGTTTGACATTGCTTTTGATCATTCAGTCATCTTGCTTACATTTACATTAAAGAGGCACTTGTAGGTCAGACAAATATAACATAACAGTTATAATGAAATAACCACAAATGTCTTTTCTGTGCTCACAGCATTATCAGTTTTATTCAACCCCCAAGTGACATTCAATCTTAGTACTTAGTACAGCATCCTTTTACAGTTATAACAGCTTTTAAACGTGAAGCATAGCTTGACACAAGTGTCTTGCAGCGATCTACGGGTATCTTCGCCCATTCTTCATGGGCAAAGGCCTCCAGTTCAGTCACATTCTTAGGCTTGCGCACTGCAACTGCTTTCTTTAAGTCCCACCAGAGGTTCTCAATCGGATTTAAGTCTGGTGACTGCGATGGCCACTCCAAAATGTTCCAGCCTTTCCTCTGCAACCATGCTCTAGTGGACTTGGAGGTATGCTTGGGATCATTGTCCTGTTGAAAGGTCCAACGTCTCCCAAGCCTCAGGTGTGTGACGGACTGCATCACGTTTCCATCCAATATCTCCTGGTACTGAAGAGAATTCATGGTACCTTGCACACGCTGAAGCTTCCCTGTACCTGCAGAAGCAAAACAGCCCCAAAGCATGATTGACCCTCCACCATGCTTCACAGTAGGCAAGGTGTTCTTTTCATCATAGGCCTTGTTCTTCCTCCTCCAAACATAGCGTTGATCCATGGGCCCAAACAGTTCTAATTTTGTTTCATCAGTCCACAGAACACTATCCCACAACTTTTGTGGTTTGTCCACATGGCTTTTGGCATACTGCAGTCGACTCTTCTTATTCTTTGGAGACAGCAAGGGGGTACGCCTGGGAGTTCTGGCACGGAGGCCTTCATTACGCAGTGTGCGTCTTATTGTCTGGGCTGAAACTTCTGTACCCACATCTGACAAATCTTTTCTCAGTTCCTCAGCAGTCACACGGGGACTTCTCTCCACTCTACGCTTCAGGTAGCGCACAGCAGTCGAAGTCAGCATCTTCTTTCTGCCACGACCAGGTAGCGTTTCAACAGTGCCCTTTGCCTTGAATTTGCGAATGATGCTTCCTAAGGTGTCTCTTGGTATGTTTAACATCTTTGCAATCTTCTTATAGCCATTGCCCTTCCTGTGAAGAGAAATCACCTCTTCTCTTGTCTTCCTGGACCATTCTCTTGCCTTCACCATGTTTGTAACCACACCAGTAAATGTCTAGAAGGAGCTGAGTATCACAGTCATTTTAAAGCTGCCTAATTGGTGCTTATTATGCTTGATTGCTGCTCGGTGACATCCACAGGTGTTTTCAATACCTGATGGAAAGCACCTGTATGAACCTCTGTTCTTCAGAGTGGTAGTCTTTAAGGGGTTGAATAATTGTGGCAATGAAGAAACCACATAAGAACCATTTACTACTGTATTACATAAACAATTGATGTCATTTTAGTTGCATTTGGGTAGTTACAACGTCCTTGTAGGATTTGATTCTGAATACAATTCCAAATGTACACTATAGTCCCTAAACCCCTTTACAGCATTGGGGGTTGAATAATTTTGGCCACAACTGTAAATGTTCAGTGTTGTCATCTAGCTCTTTACTGCTTTATTTAATGATTCCTTAACCCAATTCAAATATATATGGTTATTAATTTATTTCTGGTACTTATATGATATGACACTTTACAAACTGCACATATTTGTTCCTTAGAAGTGCCTTTTTTTCTTATCTTTTCCCTGAAATTTAAGCAAAAAGCAGAGATTTTGGCAAGCTTTTGCATTTTGGTAAAATGCATTGGAATCAATAGGAAAAGCAAAATTAAGGCGATTGTGTTTTTTTAGGAGTGCAAAGGGCTATAAATGGCTCTTGAGTATTATGGTAGCTCATTTCAACTATCCTGTATCCTACTTTTTTCACAGAAAATAAACACTGAGAAAAAGGTAAAAAAAAAAATGTTAAATGCAACTACTCAATTTTGTTTTAATTTTACTTGTTAATCACTTTTTGTAATCCCTTACAGCACGACTAGAGTAGACTGTTGGCTCATGACTGCGACTCCTTCAATGTCCAATCAGTGTGTTTTTACCAAGCTATGCTGCTGCAGCTGTAGAGGCCAGTGGTCCGAGTGGCTTCACAGAATTAAAAATCATTTGGGCAGATAGCAGTTCCTGTGTAGGTATTTAACCACTTGCCTACAGGGCACTTATACCCCCTTCCTGCCCAGGCTAATTTCCAGCTTTCAGCGCTGTCACACTTTGAATGACAATTGCGTGGTCATGCAACACTGTACCCATATGACATTTTTCTTTTTTTTTTTAGATAGAGCTTTATTTTGGTGGTATTGAATCACCTCTGGGTTTTTTATTTTTTCCTAAAAAACCAAAAAACACTGAAAATGTTGAAAAAAAAAGTTTTTTCTTAGTTTTTGTTATAAAATTTTGTAAATAAGTGATTTTTCTCCTTTACTGATGTGCGCTAATGAAGCTGCAGTGATGGGCACTGATAGGCTACACTGATGGACACTGATAGGTGGCACTGATGGACACTGATGAGGAGGCACTGGTAGGTGGCACTGATGGGCATTGACAGGCATCACTGATGGGCACTGAAAGACAGCAGCACTCATATATGGCACTGATAGGCAGCACTAATAGGTGGCACTGACTAGCACTGTTAGGCGGCACTGATAGGGAGCACTGACGAGCACAGATAGGCGGCACTGATGCACACTGATAGGCAGCACTTACTGGCACTGATATGCGGCACTTACTGGCACTGATAGGTGGCACTGACTGGCATTGATAGGTGACACTGACTGGCACTGATGGGTGACACTGAAAGGCAGCTCAGATGGGCACTGATATGTGGCATTGATGTGGCACTGATTGGCACTGACAGGTGGCATGGATGAGCACTGACAGCTGGCACTGATGGACACTAACAGGTGGCACTGCTGGGGCTACACAGATCATCAGAGCACACTGATTATCAGTGCCCTGATGATCAGTGCACATGTCCCCTCTGAGGGATGCCGTGACAGCTCAAGAGGAGAGAAATGCCGATAACCGGCATTTCCCTATTTACATGCGATCAGCCATGATTGGACACAACTGATCACATGACCGAGCCGACATCTACGGCTCTTTCCGTTGATCAGTGACCCGCTGTGTTCGAGGGACACAGTGCACCACCAATCGCTGCGCGCGCTCCCGGAGCCGCACATGTGCAGTTAGAATGGGACGATGTCATATAATGTCCTCCCTGAACAAGAGAACCGCCTTGTACCCGTCATTACACTATGTGGCGGGCGGGAGGCGGTTAAAAAAAATGGTCCCTGCAGGATAATATCATAATGTGCTAGAATGTATCGCATTCTAGCACATTATGACAGACTTACCATAAAACAAAGCCCTCCAGCAGATGCATTCCAGCTGTGAATTAATCTATTTGTATGGGGTTGATCTTTAACTCTACATAAAACTAGTAATACTTGTGTAATATGTTGAAGCCTGGAGAAAAGCAAACTATTCCACCTTAATCATTAAACTTTTGGTATAGTAGACCACACATCCTAATCGAATGTCTAAAACCATATCATGGTATAGATGACTCATTGTTCAGCTAGCTTAAATCCTTCTTGCCAGGCAGATTCCAAAGGCTCAAACAATAAAGATTCATATATACATATATCATTTGTTTTATGGACTTCAATAGCAGGGGCGGGCTGACAACTCATGGGGCCCCCGGGCAATATGGGATCATGGGGCCCCTGTGTCCTTGCCCACACTCAAAAAAGCCTATGAAAAAGGTACCAGGGGCATCTCATGGGGCCCCTACTGACCCTGGGCCCTCGGGCAGTGCCTGAGTTTCCAAATGGTCAGTCCGCCCCTGTTCAAGAGTCACTTCTATCACTGGCTGCATTTGCAATATATGTTACAACCGAGTTTTATCACTCAGCTCTAGTACATCCAGCTGAAGACATAATACCAACAATTTATGCCTGCCTAGCTAATCAGGAAGAACTGATGATGCTAGCTGGGTGCAATTAAACCCTGGTGAGACAAAGATAGTTCTGGTAGAAAGACCAAGGTTCATAAAAAAAGCTATTTGTGTAAAATGGCTAACAGAAATAAGGGGTGTAAATCTACACACATCACACCATGTATGAAGCCTAAAGTGTTACTAAACCCACAACAGTAAAATCATTCTGTATATGCAGTAAACCATGCGTGTTATACTCACTGTGGAACCTAAGGGCTTAATCCTCTGCATTGTGTAAAAAGGCTGATGCTGACTTCTCTGATCCCCCTTCTTTCAGTGCCCTCCTCGTATCTCTTGATAAGACATATCGTGTGGAAACACTCTGCACATGCTCAGTTTAGTGTGTATTGCTAGAGAGTTTTTTTTCCTTGGGAAAGTGCATGTAACCAGCACAGGACCAATAAGCACTGTCCAGACAGAGGTTCGGGGGTTCTGCATCCTCCTAGAGCAGAAAGAAAACTGCTACAAGCTTTAACCTATGCTCTGCTGAACACTGATAGAAGTCACATGACTGCTCTAACTGCTGATGAGAAAAGGTATTTAGCAGTTTATATTTACTAAAATAATTGCATTTTCATGTTCTAGTATTGTGGGAGACCAGATATAGTGAATGCAGGGTCCTGGATTTAGTAACAGTTTAAGAGTGATATTTGGTAATGATCAGAAACCATTAAATCATTTTGTTTTCATCTCAAAAACACTGAAAAAACACCCATTTCCAGTAGAGGATACACCAAAGTTAATCCATGATTCACAGCATGACTATAACAATACCCTTTACCAAGGGTTTCCTAAGAATAGGTTACAATAGAAATACACAATTTAGCTGCTAAGTGGCCAACCAAAATATTGTACTGTCATATTAAACTATTTGTTTGCTGCCACATTAGATGCTTGTAAATACGACTTTATGTTCCTTTCTAATTTTTAGAGCATTAATCTGAAGTCAAAACAATCCTGCAGTCATGTAGTAGTTGTGCCTCTGTATGAAGTTTTTTCCATTAAGTGCTGTGGGAAATCTGATATGCAAATACTGACCAGTTCCCATAGCTGAGAGTCTGGCCCTTGGCCTTTTAACTTTCTGTCTTCACTGTTGGCCAATGAAATCTAGGGAATGGGAGCACAGACGTTTGGACACAAGAGCTGACTGACAGTTGTACGCCAGTTTGCCCAGGAATACAGGCCCTGGAGGGTACTTAATAGCACTTGCAGGAACTTGCTGTTATGCATCAGTAGCACTATAAGCTGATAGTTTTTACCCCATTTCTTTTTAAATAGTCAAGCCCCAGGTTATACAGAAACAAATAGAATTCTACATCACCCCATATGTGCTCTTTAGACATTTTGATCGCATGGTTTCCATTCTATAGCTCAAACATTTCAAAAACTCTTTTTCATCTCAATGTTCTTAATGCCCCCTCTACATATGTTTATCTATCATTTATGTTCTTCTAATTTTATGTGATATTGTAGAGTCCCTAAGGAAAGAGGAGCTATATAAATCCTATTTTAATGTTCCATTGTATAGGTTGCTGCATACAAGATAAAGTCACTCCTCTGATTACATGATAAATGGAATTTTCAAGAAAAATGTTATCTTTGCAGAGCCAAGTATTTCTACTAAAGCCTAGTACACCCCAGCCGGCTAAGCGAAAAAACCCTGATAGCTCAGGAGGAAGCGCTATACTAACTATCCAATGTTAGTAAAGCGATCTCCCATACTGTGCTATTGTGTTCTGACAGGCATTGGCTGAGAGTGCTGCTCGGGAGCCAATCAGCATACCTTTTTCGGTCATGCCCCTTCGGCAGAAGTCGGCTTTTGTAAGACCGGCTGCCCTACACATGGGCTGAATGTTGACCAGTTTCTATTGAACCGGCCAATGCAGCCTGACATTCAGCCTTTGTGTACTAGGCTTCAGTCAGGATGGCTTCATTATTTTATCTGTCTAATACAGGAGCAATTGTTTATATCATTAATCTATGAATCACATTTATTTTAAGGTGACCTATCATGTGATAAATATAAAAGTTGCCATTGCTGATCTCTCTTTCTGAAGATGGTACTTAGAGTAACTGGTTGTTATGCTGATCATCTGGCATCAATGTCTTAGAGTAACCTGTCTGTAAAAAATATGCAAATCAGGAAAGTGGGAGCAAAGTCAAAACCCCTGATTTGTGGGTCAATGATTCGGTCTGGGTCAATGATTCGGAAAGTATGGGCACTATTATCTGTAGAGTAAAAAACCGGCACCCAGGAGGCACGGGTGTGACATGCAACTTGCTGCCATCAGCCTATCAAAACTAATGACAGGTTACAATACGCATTGGCTGTACATTGTTCCAAGCGGTACTTGCATACATGGCAGTAAATATTCAGGAACATACGGGCAGCACAGTGGCTAAATGGTTAGCACTTTTACCTGGCAGTATTAGGGTCGTTGGTTCGAATCCCAGCCATGGCACCACTTGCCTGGAGTTTGCATGTTCTCCCTGTGCCTGCATGGGTTTCCTCACACACTCCAAAGAGATGCTAGTAGGTTGAGTGGATCCTTTCTAAATTGGTCCTAGTATGTGTATGTATGAATGTAAGTTAGGGACCTTAGATTGTACACCCCTTGAGGGTTAGGGACTGATGTGAATGCACAATATATATATATATATATATATATATATATATATATATAGTTGTGTTCAAAATAATAGCAGTGTGTTTGAAAAAAGTGAATAAAGCTCAAAATCCTTCTAATAGCTTTTATTTCCATACACACAAATGCATTGGGAACACTACACATTCTATTCCAAATTTAAAACGTGAAGAAAAATATATCAAACTTGTGTTGTTCCTCTAAAAAAAATTGAAGAAAAGTGAATATTAGACTGTTCAAAAAAAAAATAGCAGTGTTTGTATTCTTCTTTACAAACTCAAACATTCACTATATGAACTGAAAAATGTTTGAAGATTTTGCTTTCCTTTGAATCACTTAATTAATATTTAGTTGTATAAGCACTGTTTCTGAGAACTGCTGTACATCTGTGTTGCATGGAGTCAACCAACTTCTGGCACCTGTGAACAGATATTCCAGCCCAGGATGATTGGACTACATTCCACAGTTCTTCTCTATTTCTTGGTTTTGCCTCAGAAACTGCATTTTTGATGTCACCCCACAAGTTTTCTATTGGATTAAGATCCGGGGATTGGGCTGGCCACTCCATAACGTCAATCTTGTTGGTCTGGAACCAAGATGTTGCACGTTTACTGGTGTGTTTGGGGGTGTTGTCTTGTTGGAACACCCATTTCAAGGGCATTTCCTCTTCAGCATAAGGCAGCATGACCTCTTCAAGTATTCTGATGTATTCAAACTGATCCATGATCCCTGGTATGCGATAAATAGGCCCAACACCGTAGTATGAGAAACATCCCCATATCATGATGCTTCACTGTCACTTCTTCACAGTGTACTGTGGCTTGAATTCAGTGTTTGGGGGTCGTCTGACAAACTGTCTCCGGCCACTAGACCCAAAAAGAACAATCTTACTTTCATCAGTCCACAAAATGTTGCGCCATTTCTCTTTAGGCCAGTCAATGTGCTCTTTGGCAAATTGTAACCTCTTCAGCACATGTCTTTTTTTCAACAGTGGGACTTTGCGGGGGCTTCTTGCAGATAGCTTGGCTTCACATAGGTGTCTTCTAATTGTAACAATACTCACAGGTAACTTTAGACCTTCTTTGATCTTACTGGAACTGATTGTTGGCTGAGTCCTTGCCATTTTGGCTATTCTTCTATCCATTGAATGGTAGTTTTTCGCTTTCTTCTACGTCTTTCAGGTTTTGGTTGCCATTTTAAAGCATTTGCGATCATTTTAGCTGAGCAGCCTATCATTTTCTGCACTTCTTTATATGTTTTCCCCTCTCCAATCAACTTTTTTTAATCAAGGTACGCTGTTCTTCTGAACAATGTCTGGAACGACTATTTTCCTCAGAATTTCAGAGAGAAATGCACTGTAACCAGCATGTACAACATTTGCTGCCTTCCTTCCTTAAATAAGGGCAATAATTGCCACCTGTTATTCAAAGAATGAATACCTCACTAATAGAACTCCACACTGCTATT